AAATTGGAGTTGGTTTAACTAGTATTGGATATTGGTCAAGAAACGTGTTATTGGTTTAGTTTTTATACCCCTAAGACCCGTTCCCGTTCAGATAATGAAATCGGGTCCACCTCCGTTTAGGCAAATGTAGAGCAAGCAATTAACTGCATGTCTGATGTTCTAATGTTATTATGTTAATAACAGAGACCATTTTAACGAACTCAAGCCGCTGAACTCACAAACATGTAATAAGCGAGGCAAACAACGCAACTGCAATTAAGCTAAATAGAATGACAACAGAATGAAAAACTTACAGGACTATGCGAGGAAAAGAAAGCTCAAATGTGTGCAGCGGAGGTGCGAATTATTTATAGCCATGAGCCAGAGCCAGAGCCAGTTTTTAGCACGTTCAACATGTTCTATAGAACAGGGCCTCCCAATTTCTGGGGCCCCAACATTTTTTAAAATTATTAGTATTACATAGTAATAATATACTTCCTCCGTTCTTTTTTAAATGCAATGGTAAACTTTTCACGTTTGTCAACCCGCAAGTTTGACTATTAATATCTTTCATTCCTTATTAGTAAAAAAATTAAAACAAATAAGATTTTGAAAATTTAAAATGAGAGGCATTTAACAATATTTTTAAAATTCAATTTTTAATACATTAACAAATAAAATAGAATCAAAGTAGAACATATGAATAGTGGAAAAAGTCCAATGTTGCATTTAAAAAAGAACGGAAGGAGTATATAAATACTAATCAATAAAATAAAAATTTTTGTCAGTACTTTTATTCAAGTTTTACTCAAATTGATTGAGTGATAAGTTGTGTTACTTAAATAAAGTATTTAGTGATTTTTAGAATTTTTATTACATTATTTGATAATTATTCAATTGATTTCAGTATAAATATTTTATATTTAGGTTGATTTTTTTTTTATTATTAATATGGGGCTTCGTTTTATACGTTTGGAACGGGACCTCCAAATTCATTAGACGCCTCTGCCATGAGCACAACCCTTGAATTTCCAACGGATTGTTGAGTTCGGATGGCTGTGCGGCAGCAAATCCGAACGTAAAAGAAAGCGAACAGACTGGCCGGAGCAACGTATAAGGCGTGGCACAAGAACGATCAGCGCAAAGAGGAATTTAATAGCATTAATTAACCTAATTCAGTTGATTATGAAGGATCATCGGCTGAAGCTCTTAGGTTTTTTTTCATTTGACGGGCCTCCCCTACGAGATTTGCGGCTTAGCTCTTAAGTTAACGGAAGTTAAAAATGTTACGGAAGGTAAGGGCAAAGAAGCCATATGGGAAAATAGGGTTCCACCTTTTAAGAACAATGTACAACAACATATGCTCTAAATGTGTTAACATAAATCAGGGGTACCAACCCCTATTCATAGTTATAATATTGTTAGATTAGATATATTATATATTATACTCCCTTCGTCCCTAAGACCATTTGGAGGGGTGTAGAGTCCAAAAAGTCAAAAAATGACTCCGTCCATACGAAAACAATGTTTCGACTCTTATTTCCTGCATTCCAGCATCGTCAATAAAATACACTCTGCATATTTTTTACATATCAATTTAGTAAAACATTAATTAAATTATTTTAATTAATTTTTTCCTTTTAATTTCTTTTCAAATTAATTACAAAATAAAAGGGACACATTTTGATATAATAATAATTAAATTTCAATATTTTTTTAACGTTAAATCAATTTTTTTACGTTAAAAAACACTCAGATCTACCATATTTTTATTTAAAAAATCAGGCTTTGTTGTTGCAAAAAAACAAAGCCTGTTGTAGGTGCTAAGTGACGTCATCGTGACATCACCGAGTCAACTGTATCCGTTCGCACCAGGCCACACGTGGCCTATTGGCCTTTTCCCTCTGCACGCCATCCCATCCGCCCCACTCCCCTATTTTACTTTCCTTTTCATTTGCTTTTTGGGAGTCCATATCCCTCTAAATTTAACCCCTTCCCTCCCCATACCCATTTTTAATACCCTTTATAACACAACAATGTATGAAATTAGGAGTCCAAAATTGCCATTTTTGACATTTTGGACTCCTAATACCCACCACTCCAATTGGTCTAAGACAATTTGTAGTGGTGTGAGAGTCTAAATGTTAAAAATAAACTTCGTTCATATGAAAACAATGTTTTGACTCCTATTTCTCTCCACTAATCTTGAGTGTTTTCATTAGAACTAAATGTTAGGACCAATTTTAGGAACTTATCAGCTCTCTTGAATAACAAAAAAAGATGACACCCCATCCCTGAGGCCCCCCAACACTGACCGGGCAGCACGATGGGAGGATGTAAATTGGATTATAATCACAATCTGACAGATAGAGAGTGGGGCTCCGTCCCCGGTACTTGCAAAGCCCTCTGATACTCTCTCATCGCAGTTGTAGGGAGTCGAACCCGGGACCTAAGTTCTCTCGAATAACAATAAATGGTTTAGCTTATGCAGTAAAAGCTAGGTTGTTGCAACTTACTCCGTCTTTACCTTGCAGCTAGTGTACTAGATCCCCTCGAAGCTAGCTCCAATAAGCTTCAATTTATTGAATCTTAAATTTTGAAACAAAAGCCCAAAATACTGCTCTAGAATTCAAAACCAACTATTTTCCTTTGAAGTCGTCTTCTTTACAACTATATGAAGTAAAAGATATCCTTTTCATAATTTCTTTACCAGGCAGAAAAAGATATTAGGCTATTATTTCATATTTAGGCTACTATTATACTCCGTATGTTTTAAGGTATTTTCACTTTGTCATTAGCTCTTGTTATTACTACATGGTTTAAATAATTTCTCTTTCTTATAAGCTATTATTATTATTATTGTTGGGAAGCTATAAAGACTAAAAGTAGCTATTATGTTTCTCATTACCTTTTCATTTAAAAGCCATATTAGTTTTTCAGTAGTTATTTTTGTAATCTAAATTCCGATATAAATGGCTATTTATTTCAGTCATTACCTTTTATTTAGAAACTATATATATAGGGGAGGGTTCAAGTAAAAAGTAGTCTTTCTATAAAAAGTGAGAACAAATTTTGGTATTTCATCACTTGAAAATGGATGAATTAGATGAACTTTAAACACAAGAGATGATTTAAAAAAATGTGCAAACGTTTGTACTATAAAGTGGATAGTTACTGCTTAAAGGTGCACTCATGCGTGTCAAAACCCCACACTTATTGAAATGTTCAGTGACGACGTTCAATGCCCATATTACATGCCCACAAACCCTAAATTCAATATAAAACCAAATCTCAAAAAATAAAAAAAGGAAGAATGAGAGGGGCGAATGGGAAACAACGAAGGTGAGTTGGAGTGCCTTCATGCTGCAGGATGGCGACTTTGGTTGGATGGAGACGGAGGGGCGCGAATGGGTGGCGGCGTCTGCACGTACACATCGGGGCGAAGGTTGGGGCGCGGATGGGAGGTGGCGGTGCGCACGGCCTGGGATGGCGGTTTACAGGTCGGGGAAGGGGCGCAGAGGTCTGTGACGGCATCGTACAGCTCTCCGAAGGTGGGCACAGGTCTGGGATGGCGGCGTTTCGATCTCGGACGACGACAAGGAGTGGCGGCTGGACGGCGGCGCCTTGGGATCCAGGTCAGGCGGAGAACTGGCGCAACAAGCCACGTTGCTTCTGCGGTTGGCGACTGTGCTCCCAGGTCGATGTTTTGTGGAAAGCGGCGGCGCTGGGCGGCGGCTGGAGGACGTGCGGCGGCGGCTGGACGGTGGGGCGGCTGGACGGCGGGGCGGCTACATAGGGGGGTGTTGGGAGTTTATATCTAGGGTTGTGGGAAATGGGTAGGAGGTTAGGGTTTTATAGGTATATACAAAAGGGTATATTTGTCCATTAAAATATAATCAATTATTAATTATGAATTTTAATTAAATTTTATGAATTATAATATTATTTTGAGAAAGAAACTAGTTAAGTCATAGATTGGGAAACTCATTGAGTTTTATTCATACCTAGCATAATTATTTCTATGGTTAAAGCACTTCATCAACACTTGTAATCCAAATGAAACAATAAATTCGTAGTCATTTGGAGTAGTGATGTGTGTAATCACACATTAAACATTAGAACCGCGTGGAATATGAAGAAGCAGAATTCGATTTAAATACATTAGAAACCAAGAAATGTCTTGCACAAGTAAAGATGAAGTATTCCTTAAGACACAAACTTAACAAGAAGATGAAGTAATAAGGTAGTACAATTTTCCATTGCTAGCAGATGGATTAATTTAAATGCTAGAAACATGAGTACCTTTTAAGGAATAGAAGAGTACGCAAGTAGCAGATGAGGTGAGGAAGAGATAGATGATGCCATGTAGTGGACTGATATAAACGCGAGAACGGAGTCGATTAATGTGCTTTAAAGCATTAAAAGGTGTGCTGTTGGAGGAGATACTGGACGGGGAAAGAACCATTGCTCACCTTAATTGCAGAAGAATATAGAGAGGGGAAGAATCAGATCATCTTGTTTGGAAATGAGTCAAATAACTTATGGACGGTTGGCTGCGAACAATGCGGTTTGATAACTGCGAAGCATGTTTGAATGGACGTTTGTTGTTCAACAGAAGGGTAAAAACGACGTTATCTTCAAGAATTCATTTGAATGTCTTCCCGATTGAATTGTTAAGAAAGAATTCAAATGTATTAACTCCCATTGAAATGCTAGGAAAGAAAAAATATAAAATAACTTTAATTCAACAACATAAATTAAAACAATCAACAACACACTGATTTATCTGTGTGGTGGTCCTCTAATATATACATAAAGTAGTAACATACGAAGGACAAGTATGTGTATAATTCAGCTTATAAGTAAAAAATTCAATATATAATTAAAATGTGTACATAGACAACTCTTGTCTGTGGTCACAGACAACTCCGTACCAATTGTCTGTGACCGACATTGTGTGTACAAGTTGTGTACAACTTGTATACCCTAGCATTTTCCATATAATTATTTCAAAACTATACGGAAACCACTACTAACTACTAAGGTATCTGGATCCTTTTCTCCATAATTTTTTGTCCTGAAAATCCCTCATACAAACCTCGATTGTAACATTGACCTTGATCGTGCTCGTAGATAGGTAAATTCTTTTCTTGAGAAGAAGATATGTCTGTCAAAATTGGGTCTTCATTGTCCTCTGTTTGCACTGCTCCTTCGCCGTTTCAATTCAATAGAACCCCCGAGGTGAGTTTCTTTCGTCTTAAGTGTGTTCTTGAGAAATAATTTAGTAGTGTGGCCTGTTTGTCTTCATTTAACTGAGTTTAAGCTGATCTTAAAAAAGAATGCTAATGTTAGCCCTTGTTTGGACGGAGGATTAGGCTATTAGAGGGATTTTGAGGTGAGGGAAGAAAGTGGAGCTCCCCATATCTCATTCTCCGTATTTGGGCATTCCAGAGGCGTTTTTAATTTTTCTAACTTATTTTCACATTTTATTACTAAAAACTGTTTGACATCATCATCATATATAGATATTGTTAGGGAGTATATTTTTGGTCATAACATGAGATATCAAATATGATATTTAAATATATTATTTAAAATGATAATTGTTCATCACTCCATTGAATAAAGCATGAAAACCTTTTGACATTCTCCATTCTCCTCTCCATCCCAATCCCCATCTGAATCAAATAAATGGTGAAGAAAATGAATGCTATAAGCTTCATAAAGTTGCTTCTTTACTTATTAAAAGACACGGAGTTCAACACCAAAATTAATGTTCAATCACTTTAATCTCTATTTGTAAAAGATTAAGATCAACATTAGACCATGATGAATTTAAGAACGTCATGAAAAAGTTCTAGCAATCATGGTAAGCACTCATCTAATCAGCATTGCAAACTTAGCTCAGACTTGTGACACGAAAGAGTTCCACCAAAAGGCAATTCACCACATGAATGCCTACTAGAGGTGCATTACTTAAGAACACTGAACAATTTAATGATCTTTCTGACATATCGGTATTTCGCATCTCGAGATATGCGAGGCACATAATGGTAATTAACAAATGGACCTTTGAAATATTGAAAGTATTTTACATGATTTATTTTACTGGAAGTTTGGTATTTTTCATTACCGAGCTCCACATCGTTCATTTTCTGGCATTATTTCTAGTGATGTGAAAACACCCTCTTGCCACACTGTACAATGCTTGAAGGCCAAAAATCTCTTTAAGCAAAGGGGTCACTTGATTCCATTCCATTAATGTATGCATTTCTTTAATTGGCTTGCAGCATTCTTATAAATCAAATCCTTTGAGGTCTATATCATGGAGAAATGGTAAAAGATCGACGAAAACTGTGGCAACTGTACATTATGTTGGTAAAGTTACCTCATTGAAATGCAGAGCCCTGACTAGGTAAATCTTTATCATAATCATAAATCAGTTTTGCTTGTTTTTTATACTATTTAGCTCTGACTTACAAGATATAGATATAAGTGGTAGTGTACTTTAATGTGTCACTATCGTATAGGGTTATTTTGATGAGCAAGAACATCAAGATCCCTGAGTTATGTCAATATATGTTAAAAACTGATTGTAGACTTGATAAATAAATAAGCGATATGCCGATATGACATTGGTCCACGATCTTATGTAATTATTGATCAATTAAAAGTTAAACAATCTGGGCAGCGAAATATGATTTTTGGACTTGAAAGTTGAAACTGAAATAGAGTAATAGACTTGAGAAGTTCTTTTTTGTCTGAGTGATTTTTCTTCCTTTTTCTTCCCTATAAACTCATCTTGTGCGCTTATCCTTCTCTGCAATATATGTAATTTATATTTGGTACTCCCTTGGTCCCAGATTAATCTACTTGTTTTCCTTTTCGGTCCATTCCACTTCTTGTTTAAAGTTGTTTGGTTAGTTTTTTTTTTCCCGTTTTAAAATGAATCTCATCCACAAAGTTATGCTTTCTTGATAATGTTCTAAGTCAAAACAGGAAGATTAGTTTCAGACAGAGGTTGTTTAGTCATTCCAAAGTAAGGAATAGCCCCCACCCCCTTAGCCCCCACCATTAAGAAGTACTATCCCCATCTAAAAAACAGGACAATTATTTTGACTAAGGTGTGTGCCTTTTTAATTTTGTTTCAGTACAATTGATGTAACTCATGTAAGTCATTAATCCACATATGCTTTGTATATTTTGAAAAAATTTATTTACTTGGTTTTACTAAATTTGTAATAGCAGGGAACATTTTCTTCATATGATAATGAATAAAGTAAGACCAACATTATGGGTGTGTAATTTTAGTGGTCAATCTTATTTGCAGTGGAGGAGCTCCTCTAGTCTCTAAGCAGAAGGTATTTAAGATCTTAGCTTTTAAAAGTAGTAGCCAAAATGACTCTGGATGCACTAGATTCAATGCCATGGATAAATCTGTGAATAAGCTTTCTTATGGAGCCCATGGGAGTGAGGTAACCTCAGTGGAGTCTTTTAGGGCACAGAATCATCCTGTTTCATACACTTCTGAAATAGTTGAGAGAACAATAGATGACACTCTGGCTATACAGAAGCCTCTCAAACACTGGCTGTCAATATTGCGTACAACACCATCATCAGACCAAGCAATCAGTGAAACTGTTGAAGAACAATCTTCAACACAAGCAGTTGAAACCCAAAAGCTGGTCCAACAGAAGACGGAAAGAAGAAGTACTTTACAAGCAGTTTGGAGCTATTTTATAAGCCTGGATGCAACGATAAAGATAAATTTATTGATCTTGTAAGTATGGTTGGGTCAAGTTTGGGTGGTTGAGCATACAAGGCATCACCTTGCTAAAGCCTTTTACATGTCTTGAGACTTGATATTTGCATCTTGAGTGATGAAAATGACTAAAGTGAAATGATGTTTTTTTTAAAAGGGCAGCCTGGTGCACATTGGTGACCCCTCAAGGCGAGAGTACGGGGATGGGTCCAACCACAAGGGTGTATATGGGGCAAGCCTTCCCATGTCATTTTGACAAGAGACCGCTCCCAGAACTTAAACCCATGACCACTTGGTCACACAGCAACGCCGTAACTGGTGCACCAAGGCTCCCCTTAAAAAACTTCAAATAAATAAATAAATAAACACAAACTTCATATGGAAATTGTTATTAGATTACAAATTTATGATCGGTATATATGCATTTTGCAGTATACCCTTTTGTGTGGCTGTTACTTCAGCTTATGGAGCCGAAATTTCAAAAGAGTTGATGCCATTATGGATTTTTGGACCATTTATCATGTCTTTGTACATCAAGATGATCCAAGCCATCTCTGCACTTTATGTGTTTTGTTTTGCTCAGACAGTAAAGGTTGTAAAGAATCTTCCGACATACTACTTATTAGCTCATGATTACATTCGTCATGGGAAGCTCAAGGAAGAAATGAGAGTACGCTTATTGCAGCCCGTGGTCAGTATTAAGAACACAGACTACAGAAAGGTGCTAAGGAGTTGGTTGAACGATATGAAGGTCATTCTGGCAGAGAAGTATATCGACTTCACAGAATCAATATGGCCGTTTTACTGCAGAATGATCCGATTATTGAAGCGGGCAAACCTTATCTAGACTTGTGATTTTGATGTTGACGATAAAGAGGTATGAATGTTGAGGGATATTTTATCATTTTTTTGTCTATGTTTTTTGTAATGTCACGAACTAAAGTTTCAGTTAGTTGGTTAGTTATGGTGTATTCATTCATCAGATCCTGATTAAGCTTAGGAGGCTGACAGTGAAGCTTCTTGTTGTACTAACCGTCAAAAGCTCCAACAATTGATCACTAGTTGTTTTCGGTTTCATGATTTTTCCAAAATTTATTTAGGTGTTCGGAGAGCCAAACTCTTTATTGTTTGTTTGTGTGTGATGCATGGATTCTTTTCATCAAATTAGTACCATGTTTGATAACCAAAACTGGTTTACTGCTTACTAGCCTAAACTGTAGTTTTAACTTATTTCAGCTGAAATTGATTGCACCAAACATTGTTTAAAAACATTTTAGCGGATTCAGCCAATAACTCTTACGGTCTTGCCAAATGGGATCTAGGTTTGACTTTCAATTTGGTCCCCCCTGCATCCTTCTCTAATTCAACAAGTGTAGGGTATCTTTTTGCTACATATGCCGTGGGTCATGGATGTCAGTCATGTCACATCAATCTACACCATTAATGTAGGGAAAAAATGTACACCACAGTACCACACTTCCTCATTTCTAAGCATTGTTTGCCGACTTTTCACTTTTGGTGTATGACTGGATTTTTAAGACTTCGTTATGATTTGTGTAATTTGAAGTTGATTTTGGCTGGCTGTGAGTGAATGTATCAAAGCATGAAAATGAGAGAGATACATGGTCGGGGGCGGGGGGTCAAAAGCACAAAAAGGACTCACGTAAGATGAATTCCATGTTTTCATTTTTAGTTTTGGCCACGTTTGTTGGGGTTGTGAACTAACTTCTTACTGATCCGGCGGTCCTGACAAGTCCGGAACCGGGTCCTGTACCGTGTTCAATCGGATTGGGTCTGTTTTAAAGGTTTCGGGCAAAGGACCATTTTTCCCTTCCTCCCTTTTTAGTTTCGAAAAAATTGGTAAAATTTGATTGCCATGACCAAATTAGATGATTCAAAATGCTGCGGATTGGTCTCTTCAAGGCCTACAACTCTTATCAAGGAATTATAGTTGTTGGAATAACTATAAACGACAACTTTACTTTTTTCAATTTGAGAGGGGCTTATAGCCATTGGAACAACTATAAACGGCTTTATATCCGTTAAAGGGGGTGGGGGTCAGGGGTGGGGATAGGGACTGGCCGGGTACCTGTAATAATTGGGTCGGTCTGGGCTTCACTCAATTGGAACCGGGCTGGTCTAGTCTGAGACTGGAATCGGGACTGGGTCCATCTCTATTTTGACTCTTGAGCAACAACTTTTTTTTATTTCCTTTTCATTTGCTTACTTTTGTCTTTCCAAGAGGCTGTCATTTCTGTTCCTGTAGTCCAATATTGTAGGATTTCAATTTGCGAGAAGTCACTTATTCAGATCTTCATGCATGATGCATCCAAGGTCAACGTAACAATTTGTTGTTCGAAAACTAAGTGTGATCAATTGCATGCAAAGGGTGTTGGAGTTGTACGAGTTCAACATCGAATATTGCTTTCGAAAAGTGACTGGAATTTAGCTTTTGCAAAACTGATGAATAATTTTCTTTGTTACTTTAGAATCTATTTTGAAAAGTGAATAGATTTTAGCTTTTACTACTGCACTAGATCCAAACAGGGGTTCCATAAACCATATTCGTTTTCTTTTCAATCGCTTCCTATATTGTACAGTGCCCATTGATTTCTGGTAAGAAACTGAAATCCAACAAGTTTGGTAATGATAATAGCAACCCATGTTGCAGAAAACACTCATAAATATTCATCAGATACACAGTATTACAGTACACAACTGAAAGTGCTGAGGACACAAACACAGCCAGGGGCTATTCAACAGAAATACGAATCCACAAACTAATTCCAAGAAGCAGCACACTACTGAAGAAGAGTGAAAGAAAGCTAGACCAGGCCAGCCCACAGACAATCTTTTCGAACATTCTTGCCCTCAAAGAGGATATGCAGGAGATCATTGGGAGGGTTCAAACCAAGCTTCTTGGCCCGCTCCCATCGCTCAAGTCTGCTCATTCCAAGGCATGGTCCATACACCATGTTCATGTCAAATTGCCTCAACACACTCTCATTCTCATCATGCTCACCTGGCCACCCCCAAAAGAAAAATCACACAATAAGACATTCACAGTTTACTTACATTACATGAGTTACATCAGTATACATACATGCTAGAAAAGTAATTTCTTACGGAGTATAAATTTGAAGATAATGATGGACATTTCAAATAAATAATACACAACTCACGGATCGAAAGTATAGCATATGAATTGAAAGTTATAAATTTTCTCTGCAAATTCCACCTACCTGGCCCATTTCATTAGGGTTTCCCGCAACAAGTGTATATGCGTGAATCAGAATGAAGAATGGTCAATTAACTGTACAAATTATGATCCTCTTAATAGGGGAGTCAGAAGATATTTATATGAAGAGAGATACCTTGTAAAGCCGGGGAGCCCTGGGAGACGCTAGCCGGCGTTTGAGGGCTGTCAATGCCAAAGGTGGGGGATTGCTTTGGCGTGGAGGATGCAGACTTTGACTTCGTCTTTGACTTTGCGATGCCAGTTGTTTTCTGCTGCTTGTAGAAACCCTTGATGTTTGATTTTGTCGCCATTTCCGCTTCTGTATTTCTTCTCTGCTCTGAGTTCAAATTTTGAAATTCTTGCCCGAGAGGTACCAGTGAAGTTGAAGTGTTTATTACATACGACGACGTTTACTAATAGGCAGAACTTATCGGGCCAAAAGGCGTATTGGGCACTCGGGCTTGTACCGATGGAAGAAAAGCCCAAATAATGATTTCAGCCACACTTTAGCAGTTTAGCCACCCGAATTTTTTCCCGTTATGCCATGGTAGGTGTTTTTTGTTTTCAATTGATGCAAAAGGTGAAATCCCCCTGAGCCCCACATCCCAACCCGACAGGATGGTGAAGGAGTAAATCACGGTGACTCAGTCAGCAAAGTGGCAGTAGGTCATACACTCGTGTGCACCAGAGATCCAGTTTTATTTCTTATTTCAAGTTATGTAACCTCCACCCGATAGCTGTGAGGATTCGAACCTTGGTCCATTGATCCAAATTTCCCACACTCGAACAACTGAACTACCCGTGCGGATAGGAGTTTTTTTTTCTTTTCAAATTGTTATACTACGTAATTGCTTCATCTTTATTTGAATTTACTTGTATTAAAGATGTATCAAATTAGGTATTACTTAGTTTTTATTTCATCATTACTCGAATTTATATTAAAGATATACTACCTCCGTCCCCCTAAGTTTGGGACAAGAGAAAGTGACATGATTATTAATAAAAGTTGGTTGATGTGGTTGATATTGGATTGATAAAAAAAGAATAAATTAGGAATGATTTAGAACCACACAAACTTTACTAAATAAGACATGAGACAATCTTAGTGGGACGAGCCAAAATGGTAAAATGGGACAATCATAGTGGGACGGAGGGAGTATCAAATTACGTACTACGTCATTTTTTTTTAATAAACTGAATTGTCATGTCATGTGACAAACATTAAGGGGATGAATGAACACTCCACGTTAGCACTGAAGACACATATAATCAGAACATAAGACATTGTTTATACTACCTCCGTCCCACTAAGATTGTGACGAGAGAAAGTGGCACGATTATTAAGAAAAGTGAGTTTGTGTGGTTGATATTAAATTGATAAAGTAAGAATAAAGTAAGAATGATTTAGAGCCACACAATCTTTACCAAATTTGGTATGGGACAATTTTAGTGGAACTTTAAAAAAAGGTAAAATGAGACAATCTTAACGGAACGGAGGGAGTAAGACTTTAATATAAAACTACTCATTTTTTTACATCTCTACCACATCTTGTCATCTCTAGCCTCTATGTTGCCTCTTGTGCTAAAGCTTCTTCGCAACAAATGAGATTAGAGCTTTGAAAATCACATCTTTGATAATGTTTGGACTCGTGGATTCCTTTACTTGAAGAGATTCAAAATATAGAAACTACAACGATAAAAAGAATCACCGGGGAAGAATTATTTTGACGACGGCGGATCGGTGAATGGAAGCAGTAGTGAGCTCACGAATGATGACATCAAGGGATGATCTATGTATATGTTATGTTATGGTAGGCTGAAACCCAGGGCAGCTTAAAATTTTTTCAATTTTTTTAGTGTAAATTTTTAAAATTTTCATATTTAGCCCACCCCGCTAAAGTTGAAGTCAAATAGAAATAGAATTTCTTTTCACCCCAGGGCATTCCGGAATCCTGATCCGCCCCTAGATGACATTGTCTATTTGTCTTAAAAAATTTGATTATTTTCCATCATTATTCATAGATTTATGGAAGGTAAACCTAAGTGAACCTCTAACTGAGTCCGAGGATATGCACGACGAGGGTTTTTGGTTCCCGATGAAGGTGAAGATATCGTTGTCTTCTAGGAGATGGTTTTAGAGCATTTCGTTCCGCAACGGATTACACTTGTTGCTCTCCTGCGGTTAACCCCATTTTGAACTCCGTAATATTTATAAATGCATAATTGAAAAATCAATCTAATTATCCACTCTTTTTAAGAACTCGTGAAATTCAATTGAGCAATTTATTTCGGGCCGGAGGAATAAATTTGTTTAATCTCCATAAATGATCATTTCCATTTTATATCCAAGATGAGATTTGAAAGTCTTCATTCATTCATTCATCTCTTAATTATCCAAATAATAATTTTTGGCTACATATATGATCATTTCCTTTTTGTAAGTTTGTAACCAAAGATCCGAAAGGAGTTGGAACAAAAAAAAAAAGGTCACAAACAGATCTGAGGTACTCACTTCTCACAACTGCCTGCAGGGAGTATCGAGCTTCTCCTCTGCCATTCTCTGCAGAAAAAAGAACACTTCGCGTAAAAACCCATCTTTAGCAAGACACCACAACACCTCATCCACTGCCGGCCGGGCAATAAACTTCACCGCGAACTCCGAGCATTTTCTCCTCCAACACCTAACACCACCCCACGTATCTCCAAAGTCTTGCGTGCCCGTGCTTCCTAGGTGCGTACTTATTTCCGTCAAATGAAATGTGGCAGCCATTTGTGCACCAAAATGGCACGAAATGGACCACCAGTGTTTGTAAAACTTTGTAACTGTTATTGTTATGCCTTTGGGGGTGCATCAAGAATGGGAAGAATGCCCACTCTTGATTCTGAAATTTTCTGAAATTTCTTGATTGCGAAATGCTCGACTTAAAGCTTCTTTGGGACTGTTTCTGTAGTTTTACTGTTGCCTGGTGTGTGTGAGTGCGCGCGCACCCTACTTCGTTCCTTGGCTTGGGTGTGATAGACTGATAATTTAGTGCCATCATACATTTCACCAAACATAAACTTATCTGGATGCAAGTCTGAATTGGTTGGTATGTAAAAAAGCAAGTTTTTCCGCATAATGACACTTAGACTCTCATTTTAGTTTTTAATATTTTAATATTTTGTTTCTATAACACAGCAAGTCCATCAACTCCACCCACCCAGGCTTTTATCTCACTAACCTCAACCATTCATCACAATTCACCCGTGCCAAACATGGATTTTAGTTTTGCTTTCATTGACAAGAAAGCTCTTGGGGTATTAAGAGCATTTCTGATTGCTCTTAGCCTTTTAGGAAGGTATGACAAGGCATAATTGCTACTAGTGCCTAAGCATGCAGCACACTTCAGAAAGATGTATTTGCAAACCATCAAAGCTACATGTGTGCCATTCTGTCAGCTAAGCTTTGTCCACTACTCACTTAATAGGGCTGGTGTATGAGCCGGTTTTGAACAGTGTACTGGTCTCCTCTTGACATGCTCCGTCCTCCATGTATTAGAATGACATAAAGCTGGCTCTTGAAGGAATGAAGGGTGAAATGTTCTGTGATGAATGTTGCCAAGTTATTTGTCTCCCATCCAGGTTCATATCACAATCACATCACAACTTCCAAGTTTTAAATGTATGAAAAAGGGAAGCCCAGTGCATGTTGGTGTGTGTCCTCACAAGGCAAGGGTCCAGAGAAGGGTGTATAAGGGGCAAGCCTTCACCTTTCAATTTTTTACTAGAGGCCCGCTCCCAAGACTTGATCGCGTGACCTCTCAATCACACAACTTTCAAATTTAAAAATGTCAAAAGAATAATATATAAGAAGTTAAAAACATTAAGTGAGCAACAAAACGGAACAAAATGGCTGCCCAAATGTTTGTACCTGCAAACTTAAGCATGTTTGACTTTTTAGCCTTCAATATTTAATCTCTATTGTACTATGCTAGGGGGTGCATTCTGGCTTTTGTTGGAGTTGTTGACTATATTCATCCTTTCCTAGTTTTGAATTTATTTTTCATTCCTCTTTTCACCATGTGTTGTTGGCTTGTTGCTATGTATAGCATGAAAAAAGTGAAAGGATTCTCACGACTGCAGTTGATCAGAGTTGTTTGTGGCTTGAAAGAGCCACATTCAGATGGACAGATGGTGTGATCTTTTTCAAGTTTCAAACATTGCAGCGCAGAGAACCCTTTTACCAACAAAATCCACATTTTATATTTTGTCTTTGTTCTCTGACTGGATTTTGATGGTTTCCTCTATACCAGGTCATGGATACTGGAGGGAATTCTTTATCATCTGGTCCAGATGGAAAGAAGCGAAAAGTTAGTTATTTCTATGACCCAGAAGTCGGGAACTACTATTATGGGCAAGGCCACCCAATGAAGCCGCACAGAATTCGGATGACACATGCTCTTCTTGCACACTATGGACTTCTACAGCACATGCATGTCCTCAAGCCCAATCCTGCAAGAGATAAGGATCTTTGTAGGTTTCATGCTGATGATTATGTTACTTTCTTGAGAAGCATAACTCCAGAAACGCAGCAAGATAATCTGAGGCAGTTGAAGCGGTTTAATGTTGGCGAAGACTGCCCTGTTTTCGATGGTCTGTACTCCTTTTGTCAAACTTATGCAGGAGGTTCTGTTGGTGGAGCAGTGAAATTAAACCATGGGCATTGTGACATTGCTATAAACTGGGCGGGTGGGTTGCATCATGCCAAGAAGTGCGAAGCTTCTGGTTTTTGCTATGTCAATGACATAGTGCTTGCCATATTAGAGCTCCTCAAAGTGCACGAGGTTGGTCTGTACTGTTTTTGTTACTCACAAACACTGATCATTGCTAAATGTGATTTCATTGCTTTAGGGTGTTACCACGTAACTACTAACTATGACCACTTTTGTGTTTGTCTTTTAATCTTAACTGGATGATGTAATGTCCAAGGGCCTTCTTGTTTAACTCACGGGTTCAAATCTTAAGAAAAACAACTTGGATAATAGTAATAAAGTCTTGTGCATCTTGTTCAATGTTAACCTACACAATGCTGCTATCTTGTGCTTGAGCTAATTGTTCTTGTGTAAAGTTTACCATCTCAATTATTGCTCTTTTCCTGTATGCTTCTGCTTGTCTATAAGCTCTGCATTTAAGATACTTCACTTAGGCAATAGGCACAGGTGCATAACAATGTCATCTTGACAATCCATGAAAGGTGCAGAACCAGTAATTCTCTTCATCCAGCATTGTTCTATCTTTTGTATCTAGATCTACTTCTGTACATACAAAATTGATTTTATGAAAAGTTATAATAAAATAGAATGCATTTTAGACTAGGGATGGACTCGGGCCGAGCCAACCGGCCCGGAACCGGACCGGCCCGCTACTGTGCGGGCCCGGACCGGCCCGGTGAACCGGTTAGTGCCCGGTTCAGGCCACCCGGCCCGGTGGGCTTCGATTCTGGGCTCGGGCCCTCCATTTGGTGAACCGGCCCGGCCGGTTCGGGCCCAGTCCGGGCCGAATTTAATTTTTTTTTTTCTGATTTTTTTTTTAAGTTTTTGGGTTGGGTTGGGTATTTTGGGCCATTTGAGGTGGTTTGGGGGTGAGGGGGATGGGTTGAGGGTTAAATAGGAGAAGCCAAAAAAAATACAATTACAAACCGGGTGGCCCGGCCCGGCCCGGCCCGGCCCGGAACCGGACCCGGAACCGGTGGCTACCGGTTCGGGCTCGGGCCCAACAAAACAGAACTGCGAACCGGCCGGGCCCAGGCCCGAACCGGGCCCGAACCGGAACCGGTCCACCCCTATTTTAGACGTTGCAAGAAAAAAATACTTCCATTTGCTTGTTCACATTAACTATTGTAAATACAGAAAATTAGATTTGTGTTCCGTTATAAAGACCAATGGAGCCAAAGACTCACTTTTCTTTGGCTTGGGAATATGATGGAATAAATCACAATGGCTCACTAACCACATTTCTTTGTTATGAAGTAGTGGTCAGTCCATGCAATTTTTGACGTGATTTTCATCATGGGTTATCCGAATCAGTCTCTCTGTGCTTTAGTACAGGGGTAAAGTTGCGTACATCCGACCCCCCTTACCCCACCATAGGTGGGAACCTTTGCGGCACTGGGGTAATGTTGTTGTTGTTGTACAGAATATTAGATGTAATAGTAAAACATTTTTTTGAATGTGGTGTTCAATTTGTTGCGTATCTCTAAATGCATATTGCAGATCTTATAGTGTTATTAGTTATTTTGTGGCATATACAAACTTATCGTCCACATTTTTGGAATTCACATTGCATTAATTTAATTGTATGGCAGCGAGTTCTATATGTAGACATTGACATACATCATGGTGATGGTGTTGAAGAGGCCTTCTATACTACTGATAGGGTTATGACTGTTTCATTTCATAAGTTTGGAGATTATTTCCCCGGTACTGGGGATATACGTGATATTGGATATGAGAAAGGAAAATATTACTCTTTGAATGTTCCCCTAGATGACGGAATTGATGATGAAAGCTATCAGATGTTGTTTAAGCCAATAATGTGTAAGGTGATGGAAGTTTTTAAGCCTGGTGCAGTCGTGTTGCAATGTGGCGCTGATTCTTTGTCTGGAGATAGATTGGGCTGCTTTAATCTATCAATTAAAGGTCATGCAGAATGTGTGAAATACATGAGGTCTTTCAATGTGCCACTGCTGTTACTAGGTGGAGGAGGCTACACAATTCGTAATGTGGCTCGTTGCTGGTGCTATGAAGTAGGCCTTTCATTGCTCTTTCTGTGCGCGTCATTTTTTATGTGTGATAAAACAAAAGAAATGATAAATAAATTCCAACAGTATTAAGTATACAAAGATGGACTTACTCTAATTCTAAGTCCTTGTCTGTTTACATGCCTGAAGTGTGATTTCAAAAGAAAGTTCATATCGTGGCTTATAAATGGGAAATTATTATCATGGCCTTAAATGTTAATGAGTCCAGATCAACAATTGTAATTACCCGATCTTAAAGTGATGATGATCTTTTTGTATACAAACCATTGTTCTACACAATGAAGGAGAGCGCTGGCACACCAGTTACGATGTTGCCGTGTGACCGAGAGGTCACAAGTTCAAGTCTTGAGAGTGGTCTGTTGTCAAAATGACAAGGGAAGGCTTGACCCATAAGTCCTTTCTTATTGTTCTACGCAATGTGTCATGCATATCATAGAGTGCGAATTATGTTTTCAAAAGATTGGATTTAAGGACGAAGAACACAGATTAAACAAACTTGATCTTTTTTCTGATCTTCAACATACACTTTTATTTATTTTTTATTTACTTGTGTACTTCCTTCAAGATATGATGGTGACATGCTTCTTGACATGTTTTAACTATTAAACCTTGGTTTTATGTTTATGCAGACAGGAGTTGCACTTGGCATGGAGCTTGACGACAAGATGCCACAGCATGAATACTACGAGTACTTCGGTCCAGATTATACTCTTCATGTCGCCCCTAGTAACATGGAGAACAAGAATTCCCGTCAGATGGTGGAAGAAATAAGAGCAAAACTTCTTGATTATCTGTCAAAACTTCAGCATGCACCTAGTGTGCAGTTCCAGGAGAGACCACCAGATACTGAACTCCCAGAGGTAAACACTGGAACTTAAAACATTTTTGCTCATCAAAATTGATATATCAACTTTGATCCTGATTCCTGAAATGTGTATGCACTTAAATATTTGTATCTGAAATAAACTTTTATGGTTGTCTTTGTTGATATTTCATCATCAAACCACCATACACACACACACACACACACACACACATATATATCTAGACAAATATTCCTGTCCGGACGTCCGGACAGGAACCGCCGTCCGGACCGCGGCGTTTGGCCGCCTTCCCGGTGGAATTTTTTGATGAAATTTTTATGGCATGTTCTCCATCAAGTCTAGTTTATCCACAAAAAAATTCAGCCAAAAACTCAATCGGGAAGGTCGTCAAATGATTTTTGCAAGTTAACTGGTCCGGAATATGTATTTTCCGGACCAGTTAACTTGCAAAAATCATTTGACGACCTTCCCGATTGAGTTTTTGGCTGAATTTTTTTGTGGATAAACTAGACTTGATGGAGAACATGCCATAAAAATTTCATCAAAAAAAGCCACCGGGAAGGCGGCCAAACGCCGCGGTCCGGACGGCGGTTCCCTGTCCGGACGTCCGGACAGGATCATTACTCATATATATATATATATGAATACTTAGAAATTGCATGTTGTTTGAGTGTTTAAAAATATGAGTGCTATTTGAATATGCTAATCTCTAGGTAAAACATTACACAAAAAAGAAACGACTGAAAAAAATGTTTTCAGCAACACCAAATATCTCTTGTCTAGAGATCTCTCCTATCACAATGTATTTTCTTTTTATTTTTTGGTACATCTGTCTAAGGGATGGGGCAGGTAAGGTTCACACCCAGGTTTCCACTTGAAAATAAGAGTAGAGTATTTTTAAACCTGAAGTCTATCACTTAATTGCGTGTTAGGTTTTACTGCATCTTTTTCATTTGGTCTATACATCATATGTGGCTCAATTTTTATTTATGGTTTGTGGAAACCCTAGTAGTATTGGGCTTAGCCCATTTTGTATATCTTGTATAGGAAACCCTAGGACTCTAAATATAGCTATAAATATAGCTTCTTGTATAGGATTTCATATGAAGTATATTGAATACAATCTTATATTTTACATGGTATCAGAGCCAGTGTGGCAATATTAGTGTAGTGTTTATGATTTTTTTTTCTGCTGGTGTAATTTCCGGTCAGAATTCCGGCGTGAACAGTGTCGTCACTTTCAATTGAGTGCTTTCGGTAGTGATATCAACCTACCGCCGTGCTCAAAGGTACATCGTGACTTACCGCCGGAGGAATCACCTGCGCCGCATCATCCACGCGCCACCGCGTGCCGCTGAAGCATACTTCTGCAGTTTTTCATTTTTGCAGATCTCTCTCTTTCTGCTTATCTGGCGTTGACACCTCCAACCAGCGGAAGATCCTGAGTTTCCGGCGACCAGAACGACGTAAAACTCGCCGCCGTCGACCGCTTCACGCGCCGCCACCGTCAAACGCGCCGCCGCCGTCGACCGCGCCGCCGCCGTCGACCGCCGTCTCCCTGCATCGTACGCTCGCCGCCGACCGCCGTCTCCCTGCGTCGTACGCTCGCCGCCGCCGCCCTGCAGTCTCCCTTCGCCGTCGTCCGCACCTCCCAAAGATGATAGAGGTCTGTTTTCCTTCATCCTTGTGTAGCTACAGTGCTTCAACCTGATGCCTTCAACCTTACGGCTGCTTCACTTCAATTGCAGTTGCACTACTTTAAATATTTTATTTTTTGCTGCTCTTTAAAAAAAAAAAAAAAAAAAAAAAAACAAAAAAAAAAAAAAAAAAAAAAAAACAAAACAAAAAAAAAACAAAAAAAAAAAAAAAGACAGAAAAGAAAAAAAAAAAAAACAGAAAAAAAAAGAAAAAAGAAAAAAAAACAACAAGCTGTCTTTTATGAATTCTGACGGAGGAAACAACACCGGATTCTCAAGACGGAACCGTCCTAAATGTGATTTTTGTCATAAAATTGGTCATACTAAAGACAGGTGTTGGAAATTACATGGGAGACCTCCTACCCCAGTCACCGTTGCTCAGATCCCACCATCTCCCATTGTTCTGTCTCCAGAAGAATATGCAGCATATCAGCAATTTAAGTTGACTACTATGCCATTATCTACAACGGGGATGTCTACCGCTTGCGTTTCAAACACAGCAGGCTCATGGATAATTGACTCAGGTGCCTCGGACCATATTTCTGGTAATCCCAATCTTTTATCCCATATTACCAAGCACCGACATCTTCCTTTGATTACTCTTGCTAATGGCCTTCAAACTTCGGCTTCGGGTATTGGGCAAGCGCTTCCACTTTCATCCTTACCATTAGACTCAGTCTTATATGTCCCAAACACCCCTTTTAACCTTGTCTCTGTCAGTAAAATTACACGTGCTCTTAATTGTTCCGTAACATTTTCTGCTGATTCTGTGATTGTGCAGGACCGTTGTACGGGGAAAACAATTGGCGTCGGCCATGAATCTCAAGGTCTGTATCACCTCCATCCTCTTGATCCAATCGCTTGTGTTTCAGTTGAACCTGCTATTACCTTACATAATCGTCTGGGTCATCCTAGTCTCTCAAAGTTTCAACGTATGGTTCCAGGTTTCTCCAATCTTTCATCTTTAGAATGTGAGTCATGTCACCTTGGAAAACAACCTCGTAAATCCTTTCCAAGGAGAGTCAATAACCGGGCTACATCACCGTTTGATTTAGTTCATACAGATGTATGGGGTCCGTATCGAGTCACTTCTACTTTAGGTTTCCGTTATTTTGTTATTTTTGTGGATGATTTTTCCCGTTACACATGGTTGTTTTTAATGAAAGAGCGTTTTGAATTGTTTCATATTTTTCAAACTTTTTGTGCTGAAATTCAAACTCAGTTTGGTCATTCTATCAAAATTTTACGCAGTGACAATGCTAAAGAATTTTTTGGGGCATCCTTTAATCAATTCATGACATCACGGGGTATGCTTCACCAATCTTCTTGTGTTCACACGCCTCAACAAAATGGGGTTGCTGAACGCAAGAACCGGCACTTGGTTGATACTGCTCGTACCCTATTATTACATTCCCATACACCACCTCAGTATTGGGCAGATGCTGTACTCACTGCGTGTCATTTAATAAATAGAATGCCTTCCTCAGTTCTTAATAATGAAATTCCTTATTCTATTTTGTTTCCTGCTCGTGATTTATTTCCATTACCACCTCATGTGTTTGGGTGTGTGTGTTTTGTCCATGATACGACACCGGGATTAGCTAAAATGGCGGCTAGGTCAATAAAATGTATCTTTCTTGGATATTCACGACTCCAAAAGGGGTATCGTTGTTATTCTCCATTACTTAAGAAACATTTTATTTCAGCTGATGTCACTTTCATTGAGTCGTCCTTTTATTATCCATTATCTTCAGTTAATACCCCATCATGTTTGGACTTCACCTCATATCTTCGGCCCATCCATCAGGAGCCTCCCATTAACCCCCCATCTGATGAGCACCCAAACTGCCCTCCTATGTCAGATCGTCCATTACAGGTATACCATCGACGTCCTCGACCTCCTCCCATTGAGCCCATCATGGCCACGCCCGTTGATTCCCCTATGACGGATCCTGCATCACCACCATCACCTACTCCAGCACTTGACACCACTCAGGATAATTTGCCAATTGCTCTCCGAAAAGGTACGCGTTCCACATTGAATCCACATCCCATATATAACTTTTTGAGTTATCACCGCCTCTCTACCCCTTACTATGCCTTTATTTCCCACCTATCTCATATATGCATTCCTAAAACCACACATGAGGCACTGACACACCCAGAGTGGCGTAAAGCCATGTTGGCTGAGATGGAGGCTCTTCATTCTAGTGGGACATGAGACTTAGTCCCCCTTCCCACTGGCAAATCAGTGGTGGGATGTCGGTGGATTTACACGGTTAAGGTTGGGCCTGATGGGGAGATTGATCGTTTTAAAGCACGCCTTGTGGCGAAAGGGTATACTCAGATATATGGCTTGGATTACACTGACACTTTTTCTCCTGTAGCGAAGATTGCATCAGTTCGTTTGGTTTTATCCATGGCAGCAATGAGCCGCTGGCCATTGTTCCAATTGGATATTAAAAACGCATTCCTTCACGGAGATCTGCACGAGGAAGTTTATATGGAGCAACCACCTGGATTTGTTGCTCAGGGGGAGTCTGGTATGGTGTGCAGATTACGTCGTTCATTATATGGCTTGAAGCAATCTCCACGTGCATGGTTTGGGAGGTTCAGTGCCGTTGTTTGCAGCTTTGGCATGATTCGCAGTGATGTTGATCATTCTATATTCTACAGACATTCTGCTGGCAACAAATGTATTTATCTTGTTGTGTATGTTGATGACATTGTCATTACAGGTAGCGATGATCAAGGAATTGCTCTCCTCAAGCAACATCTGTTTAGCAAATTTCAAACAAAAGACTTGGGAAAGTTGAGATACTTCCTTGGCATTGAGGTTGCACAGTCTCAAGATGGAATTGCTCTCTCACAAAGAAAGTATGCCTTGGATATTCTTGAGGAAACAGGTTTGCTAGATTGCAGGCCAGTGGATACACCAATGGATCCGAACGTTAAACTCGTATCAGAACAGGGAGATCTTTTGCCCAACAAGGAAAAATATAGAAGACTCATCGGAAAATTGAATTATCTTACCATCACGAGACCAGATATTTCATTTGCGGTAAGTGTTCTTAGCCAGTTTCTTGATAAGCCATGTACTGGACATTGGGATGCAGCTATTCGAGTTTTGAGATACATCAAGAAAACTCCAGGACAAGGATTGTTGTTTGAAGATCGAGGCCACCGTGATATTGTGGGATACTGTGATGCAGACTGGGCCGGATGTCCGATGGATAGACGTTCCACTTCGGGATATTGCATCTTGATTGGTGGAAACTTAATTTCATGGAAAAGTAAGAAACAAGATGTGGTTGCCAGATCTAGTGCTGAAGCAGAATATCGTGCAATGGCCCTTGTTACCTGTGAAATCTTATGGTTGAAGCATCTCCTCCAAGAGTTAAAATATGGAAACACAAAACCAGCTCAACTCATGTGTGATAATCAAGCTGCAATGCACATCGCATCAAATCCGGTATATCATGAGAGGACAAAACATATTGAAGTTGATTGTCATTTTATCCGAGAGAAGATCACCAGTGGACATATCATCACAAAATATGTGAACACAACTGGACAACTTGCAGATATTTTAACTAAGTCTCTTAGAGGTCCTAGAGTGGAATATATTTGTAACAAGCTTGGTACATATGATTTATATGCTCCAGCTTGAGGGGGAGTGTGGAAACCCTAGTAGTATTGGGCTTAGCCCATTTTGTATATCTTGTATAGGAAACCCTAGGACTCTAAATATAGCTATAAATATAGCTTCTTGTATAGGATTTCATATGAAGTATATTGAATACAATCTTATATTTTACATGGTTTATCACCCCTCCTAAAAAACAAAGAATAAAGGTTTCACTCAAAAATGTTATAGACTTGGGGTTTGCTTTTTTTTTTTTTTTTAGTACAAGAGGATAGCACCCATCACTATTATATTTAACATCTTCATGACGGTATTCTAAATTGCATTCTCTGTTAGCCTCATTAAAATTAATCCATATAGGGAGTATGATTTTTTAGTCTTTTGCATGAAACAGTGCCTTTCTATTTGGAGACAATATTGGAGACAATATAAGTTGAAGTTGGAACACATTTTTTACTTTCTATGGTGCTATTGTGGGCATGATTTTGAGATTAATATGCTTGAAATTTTTAGTGCCCTATATGGTTCACTGTTCACATGAAGCTTCAGTGTTAGAGTTGTAATTGCAATATTACTTACTCTAGTTCATTGATGTTTAGGCCAATGAAGATCAAGATGGTGAAGATGGGAGGTGGGGCCGTAATTTTGATGTAAATGATGATGAGCGGTATATTCCTCACTGCATTCCCACCAGCACCCGCACACCCCTTTTTCCTTTTTACACTTGGTAGTCAATTTCTTCTAACTAGTGATTTTTTCCTACAGTAAACATCTACTTGGACGGGTAAAGAGGGAGATTGTTGAACCTGAAGTCAAGGGCACAGTATGTATCATTATTTCAATTTTAAAGTGAAGAGGCCTGGATAGTATGTTTTGTATTTATCAAGAACCACAGAACTTAAATACAGTATTTGCGCTTTGCGGTGAGCTGCTAGTACTCTATTTAGGTTCTCAGGTTTTTAGTCTTCAACCATTATTAGCATTGGCATGATCAGTGCAGTACTAAAATTGAACAACAATCTCAGGGTTTTATAAAAGCAATCCTGTGATGGAGTTTATAAAGTCAAGTACACAAAATAAGGCCCTGTTTGGGGGTGGTTGGCCGTTATAGATTTTATAAAAAATAGATGATGGATTACTGTATGGATTACTGTACACAAAACTTTTTAAAAAATAGATTTGGTGCCCCTAGAGAGCATGTGGAATTGTGTACGATGATGATGGATTACTGTATGTATTCCTTTGAATCTTCAGGATGACATGAAAATCGATGAACGCCCAAGAGAGTCAGAGTCGACATTAGATCCAACAAACTTGAAGGTATTATATTGATATGTCCCGTGTGTGAAGAGCTATTATTACTTTCACAGGAAAATTGCTATTGCACCTGAGTTTTTATCATTCTAATTGTTTACCCTACCGCCAATATATATTTCATTTACCTTCATATAACTATCAAATATAACGAATACTGTCTAAAATATCTGTTTTTAAAAATATAAACAATTCATCATCATGAAATGTTGCTAAAATATCCATTCTTAAAAGAGTATAAGCCTTGGTTGCTGATCGTTATTCCTTTTTTATTGTTACCCACAGATGAAATGTCATTAATAATGGTTGAGCCAGAGGAGTTTAGAACAATAGTCAAAGCTTATATTGATGAAGGAAAAGTGTTTTTACTTTTACAAGTTCACATTGTGGACAACCTTCGTTAGATATGAAGTTCATATAGTCCAACCCACAATTAACCTAATTGATAATGAAAGTTGTCTAAAGTATTCATTCTTCAAAGTCCAAACACTTTTCCTTCATCAATGTAAGTTGTGACTAACTCTAAAATCCTCTTCTTCAACTACTCTCATTGACATTTATTCCAAAAGTAGCAGACTAAAAGTAATGAATAACAACCAAGGCTTTTAATCATGATGAAGAACTGTTGTGACTTTTAAAGTGGATATTTTGGACCAGCTAGATTTGATAGTTATACGTAGTTAAATAGGAGTATATAAATGAGATGTATATTGACCGCAGGGTTAAACAGTGAGAATAATCACAGTTCTAGAGATAACTAGACTTTAGAAGACACAAAGTTGAACTAGTAACGTGACTTATCTTAAAAGGTATAACAGCAAGTTTCCCTTGCTTTTGCAAACCCTCAAAATAATTCTACTTGTATTATGTTTCTCAGGGATCAAGCTCAGGGTCAATAGCAGCAGAAGAAAACCATTTGCTGGGGAACTCAAGCAAGCCATTCAGTCAACCGATGGATATAAATTTATGAATCATATCAGCGGGCTCCATCTATTCATCCAATCAACCAAACTGCATACTTAATATATTGAATGGATATAAGCTGTTTTTTTTGTCACCGCTGTAAGCACGTTGTCTCAATGTTATTATATCATCAGGGAGAATGTCATAGATCATTCTTACGCCCGGCTTCATTTTAGGCTGGATTTAGATTTATAACACACGACTACTTCCTCTGGTGTATATTGAAATGTACTACTCCTTGAAGGTCAAGAAACTTGAAAGAAACAAGAAACATCCTCTTTCAGAAAGAAAACAAATGTCTAAAATGTTTCTGAAGGGCTTCACTAATGTTTAAGGCGTCACCCATATTTGCAGTTCTCTATTAATTTTAAAAAATCATCTCTTCAAATTGCAATAATGCATTATTATTATTAATTAATTGCCAACATTACTCCGGTCTACGGAGTATTATTTGCCTTGGGGTTCTTAATTTCTTATGAGAAATGCAATGGAGGGAAAACACATTGATTTCTTCGCTCTGCCATGGCCATGGAATGTAAGTTGTAAAAAAACTCGTAGGACCCTGTGTCCCTGTGTTAGGATGAGAGAAAACCCACGGAAATCAGGAAATGTATACTACTTGAGTACATTCTTTCATGTTCTATTTCAACCCGTTTCCTTGTATGTTGAGAAGATGCAAGGGTGGGTAGTCATGTACTTTCATCATAAAATTTACGTGAGAAACCCTTGATTATCATGTTCACATGGTCCATGCACATGCCACATGGTATAATGGTTCCAAATTTCAATATCGTATTGTTCGTTAATTAAAAAACGCAACAGATAGATTTTCTTTTTGGCCATATATTCTCTGTCATTCTATCCGGCCATCTCTTTCCCTGATTTTCTTCTTTTTCAAGCTATATATATCTTACTAGTTTTTTATACGCGCGGTGCGTGATTATGTAAATGTCCAATGTTATATCTATGGAATACATTTTTCTAAACTATCCACTAACATATAATGTGAACAAACCACTACACAGATATGCAGTTTCACCTTACTAACTCATTTGACGACGATAACTCATTTAATACGGTAACGGCAAACCAAATATTCATAATTACTCATTGTAAGTGATCAATAATTAAAATTTTGTTAGAAATGAGTAAACGGTATGAATTAAAGATTTGATTTAGAATAAATAAAAGTTTGCTTAACCAAATAATAATTACACTTAAATATGACATTTTTCTGTAGATGCATTGATGATAATAATATTGCTATATTGCTTTACTCTACGAAGAAGTAGTATTGCAACACTCTCGGGCAGACACCTGTTGCTGCTATAGCCTTGCTTGCTGCGGCTAGTTCCTGCTTACACAGATCTTCGTTTCGAGCATGCCAATATTTTTAATTCCTTTTGTTTTAAACCTTCCATTTTCATGACTGTGGTAATACAAAAAAATGGACCGGATCGGGCGATCCCAACCCAAAAAAGTGTGGCCGAGACCCGCCCCACGGCTCTCAATCCCGATCCGGTATCAGTATCTGAACCTTGTCCATCCTTGATATATGGAAACCACAATTAAAATCCCCCAACCCAAGTACGTAGTATAAAATTAATACAAAAGCATTGACCAGAACCTCATGATTAACCCAAATGGAATCTTAGCGTAAAGCACAATATATTACATTCATTAATGAAAATATAGATAATTGTGGATTAGTAGAAAAATATTAAATAAATTCAAAACATTAGGCGACCACACTCAATTTACTTGTGGGAGTTATTGTTATTCAATTCAATGTGTTTGGTTCAATAAGTGCGTACTCGGTATAGGTATGGGGTTTAGGCTTAAAACCATGACTGCTAATTTGTGAATTGAATCCATCTTTTTTAGATCTGGGAATCGATGAAAAGTCTCTATCAGAATTTATATGAGGTGGAATGATGAAAAAGTAGAGATGTAGATTATACCGAGTAAAAGATTATACAGAATTCAACATATCTCATATTGGTCATAGGAGTGTCAAGACTTCGAAGTGTTGAGAGACGGAGAAGGAGATATAACGGATAGAAGACGGAAATAAAACGGGAGCTTAAGTTCATTTGACCGAGTACAAATGATAAAAACACATTGTACCATTCAATTAAGTTGATGATTACACCAACATTTTTTTCATACCTTAAATGCCCTTACCGGCATTGGTGTTTATAAGTTTTTAAGATACCGAGTATTACATATTAAATAACTTACATTTTGGCTGATCTCAAGTTACATTTTCTACTGTAATGTGATTTACATTTTGACTTGCCTCAAATTAAATTTTCATTAATAACATTTACCTTTGTCTTGTCTCAACTTACAATACCATAATTTCATTAACGTCGTTTACTTTTTGACTTGTCTCAAGTTACATTTCAATTAATGTGATGTGCATTTTGACTTGTCTTGGCAAATTATATTTTGCATATGCGCAATTTATATTTAGACTTGCCTGAAGTTGCATTTTGGATACACACGATTTGCATTTCACATATCAAATATGATAGAATAATCATTCGAGGGAGCAACTAAAGTTACATTTCATCGCACGAGTCAAATTTGCCGTTAATCGAGATTACATTTGTAGCAACACAAGTTACATTTCAATGTACCAAATTTACATCACGAAAAATATTGAGACAAAACATATTTATTGTTCACGTGTGTTTTTCAATTAAAACTTAAACTATCTCCTCCTTTTCTCTTGTTTTCTTCTCTTCTTTCGATCTTCTTTGATTCAATAATGAAAAGTATCTTCTTAATTATTAAAGTTTTCAATTTTATGTACATGTTACTTTCTTAGCGTTGCCTAGAGATATTGGTGGCTTAGGTCAAACCGCCATTTTTTTTAAAAAGCTAAACGCTGCTTTTTGCAGCAGTTTGGTGTGAAACCGCCAAAAAACAAACAGATCCATTATTTTTGGTAGCGAGGTGCCGTCTTCCAGATATTTATGTTATGATATATGTCTGGGGGGTAATACGAAGAACACACGAAATTTGGTAATACAGTTCGTCACGAATGACTATGTCTGGGGGTGCTACCAAGCCATGATGTTACTATTATTTTCTGATAATGATTACAAGGAGAGAGCTTGTATTTATAGAGAGTAAAAAACCAAACCACAAAGCAAATAGGACCCGCGGTTTGGGCAGGACAGAACTTGCGGCCCATATACAAAAGGACCCAAAAAATATCGACGCAACGAGCTTGATTATACAGTCTCTAACACCTTACAATTTATTCCCTGCCATCTTCGATCAGGCGTTCTTGTGTGCTAATAAGATGTTTGCATTGATCTCGTCATATATCAATCACGAATATGATTATCTTCTGCGCGCCAAAATTGAGATGGATCGCCCCCTTCCTGGACTACCGCAGCTCTAGAAAGATGAGATCACATGGAGTGATTTCTTTTCGGTAGCTGGTGAAAGCGGAATAAATTCTACGATTGGCTCCTTATCGGTAGTTGGACAAACTGAGATGTTCAATAGTTTGCTTTGAGAAATATATATTGTGATCGTAGGAGGAGTAGGCAATCTGCACGCAGACTCTACTTCTTTGCAGGATTAGTGATTCAGCGTTTTTAATTTGAAATGTCTGGTTTTATGTCTCATGACATTATAGCCTTGAGTTATATGATTGTATCCTTGTTATCTTTATCCTTTTAAAAAACTAGTAGACACAAATATGAATTACTAACCCGATTTAATTTTAACTAAAAAAAACCCGATTTAATTTGTGCAAATAAACAAAAGCTTTTCATTCTCATCCTAATTTGTCCTTGGCGTCCACTTACCATATTACGGTTGGAGCCTTGGAGGATTTCTTTCACAAGAACACTCTCGCTGGCCAAAATTGTTCGCGGACGAAATTCCTGGTCACACTCGTAAGTTACTATCTTTACTACGGAGTATTTATTTACGTAGTACATCTCATTTTCACTAATCCCCAATATAGTAACTAAATAAATCATAAACAAATAGGTCACATAATAAGTTACCTTAGACAAAACTTTCACTTCTGAATCACATCCACGCATTAGAAAACACTTTTGTCAAAACTTGTATATATTGTATTAATATAACAACTTAAGAGCCCGTTTGGTGAGTCTGTTTTTCGGCTTATAAGACTTATCAATCAACTTTTTCACCAAACACATTGTTAACCCGTATTGTGTATATGGGCTTAGCCCACTCTTTGTTTAGTTTTAGTTTGTACATGGGCTAAGGGCTCTAGCATTGTAACTTTGCTGTATAAATTCATGCACACTGAATAGAAGGATACAAGATTTTCCCCAAAAATATACTTCATTCATACGGCGTTTTACAACATGGTATCAGAGCAGGTGAAACAGGCTGCATAATATGTTCGTTCTCAGCATCGACGACTTCGGAAAAAGCACCAGCGTGCTGAAGCTCGGCGATCATGGTGGACGCAACTTCCCCCTTCTACCTCGGACCCGGAGATCAGACGGGGAACCTTATTACTCATGTTATTTTTAAAGGAGATAATTACGTGGCTTGGTCACGTGCTTTTTCTTTATCATTGAAGGCCCGTCGGAAGCATGTCTTTGTGGGCGGGACGATGAAGAAACCGGAAGAAGCGGCAAAACAGTCCGACTGGGAGACAAATAACTCCATGATTGTGTCATGGATGCTTCGGAGCATGGATCCTGTGGTCGCTACATCTATACCGTTTCACGAAGAAGCCCGCACTTTGTGGGTGTATTTGGAGAAACGGTTTAGTGTGGCGAATGGGACTCGGTTGCAGCAGTTAAAGGCGTCAATTACTGGATGTAAACAGACAAAGGGCATGTCCGTTGATGCATATTATACCTTGTTGATGGGACTTTATGATGAGCTATACCGGCTGAAACCGTTGCCGTCTTGTTCGTGCGGCCTTTGCACGTGTAATGTTGTTGGACGCATAGCTGCTGACCGTGAGGAAGAACGATTACACCAGTATCTGGTGGGCATAGACGATGAGTTGTACGGGACTGTCCGCTCCAATTTGCTTTCTCAGAATCCCTTACCGTACGTAGATCGTGCACATCATGCTTTCCTGCAGGAGGAAAATTCCAGGGCCGTAGCACGAGGAAAGACAACCACGACCGATGTTACTGCCTTTGCCATGCCGATAGATCGCGGTTCTAAGATTGGACGCCCGGAGAAAACTGACAGACCTCGTCCCATTTGTACTCACTGCAAACAAAAGGGCCATGAAATCGGGTCATGTTTTAAACTGATTGGTTATCCTGACTGGTGGGAAGAGAAAAACAAGAGTAAGCAGCAGTCTGTTGGGTGTGGGGGAGGGCCTCGCACGCATGCAGTAGGAACGGCCTTACTACCTATGGGAGAAGGGTC